GCTGGAAGAAGATTTACCAAGCCAATGGCCCCCCAAAACAGGCAGGAGTAGCAATACTTATCTCTGACAAAGTAGACTTCAAACCTACATTGATCAAACGAGATAAAGAAGGACATTCCATACTAATAAAAGGGGAAATAGACCAAAAGGAAATAATAATCATCAATCTGTATGCACCCAATGTCAACACACCCAATTTTATCAAACATGCCCTGAAAGACCTAAAAGCATATATAAACGCCAACACAGTGGTTGTGGAAGATTTTAACACCCCATTATCATCAATAGATAGGTCATCCAAACAAAAAATCAATAAAGAAATCCAAGATCTAAAATATGCAATAGATCAAATGGACCTAGTTGATGCCTACAGAACATTTCAATCCAACCTCTACACAATATACATTCTTCTCAGCAGCCCATGGAACCTTCTCCAAAATAGATCATATCCTAGGGCACAAAGCAAGTCTCAGCAAATATAAGAAAATAGAAATTATACTGTGCATACTATCTGATCACAATGCAGTAAAAGTAGAACTCAACAACAAAAGTAAAGACAAAAAACATGCAAACAGCTGGAAACTAAATAATTCATTACTTAATGAACAATGGATCATCGGTGAAATAAAAGAGGAAATTAAAAAGTTCCTGGAAGTCAATGAAAAAGAAAACACAACCTACCGGAACCTATGGGACACAGCTAAGGCAGTCCTGAGACGAAAGTTTATAGCCATGAGTGCATATATTAAAAAGACTGAAAGATCCCAAATCAATGACCTAATGATATATCTCAAACTCCCTATTTGCAGACAACATGATCCTATACCTTAAAGACCCAAAAAACTCGACTCAGAAGCTTCTAGACATCATCAATAGCTACAGCAAGTAGCAGTATATAAAATCAACATAGAAAAATCATTAGCATTTCTATACACTAACAATGAGCACACGGAAAAAGAATGTATGAAAACAATTCCATTTACAATAGCCTCAAAAAAAATCAAATACCTAGGTGTAAACCTAACAAAAGATGTGAAAGACCTCTACAAGGAAAACTATACACTTCTGAAGAAAGAGATTGAGGAAGACTATAGAAAGTGGAGAGATCTCCCATGCTCATGGGTTGGTAGAATCAACATAGTAAAAATGTCAATACTCCCAAAAGTAATCTACATGTTTAATGCAATTCCCATCAAAATTCCAATGACATTCATTAAAGAGATTAAAAATCTACTGTTAAATTTATATGGAAACACAAGAGGCCACGAATAGCCAAGGCAATACTCAGTCAAAAGAACAATGCAGGAGGTATCACAATACCTGACTTCAAACTATATTACAAAGCAATAACAATAAAAACAGCATGGTACTGGCACAAAAACAGACATGAAGACCAGTGGAACAGAATAGAGGACCCAGATATGAAGCCACACAACTATAACAACTTGTCTTTGACAAAGGAGCTAAAAATATACGATGGAGAAATAGCAGCCTCTTCAACAAAAACTGCTGGGAAAACTGGTTAGCAGTCTGCAAAAAACTGAAACTAGATCCATGTATATCACCCTATACCAAGATTAACTCAAAATGGATCAAGGATCTTAATATCAGACCCCAAACTCTAAAGTTGATACAGGAAAGAGTAGGAAATACTCTGGAGTTAGTAGGTATAGGTAAGAACTTTCTCAACGAAACCCCAGCAGCACAGCAACTAAGAGATAGCATAGATAAATGGGACCTTAAAAGCTAAAAAGCTTCTGTTCATCAAAAGAAATGGTCTCTAAACTGAAGAGAACACCCACTGAGTGGGAGAAAATATTTGCCAACTTACATCAGACAAAGGACTGATAACCAGAATATATAGGGAACTTAAAAAACTAAATTCTCCCAAAACTAATGAACCAATAAAGAAATGGGCAAGTGAACTAAACAGAACTTTCTCAAAAGAAGAAATTCAAATGGCCAAAAAACACATGAAAAAATGCTCACCATCTCTAGCAATAAAGGAAATGCAAATTAAAACCACACTAAGATTCCACCTCACCCCTGTTAGAATAGCCATCATCAACAACACCACCAACAACAGGTGTTGGCGAGGATGCGGGGAAAAAGGAACCCTCTTACACTGTTGGTGGGAATGTAACTAGTACAACCACTCTGGAAAAAAATTTGGAGGCTACTTAAAAAGCTAGACATTGATCTACCATTTGATCCAGCAATACCACTCTTGGGGATATACCCAAAAGACTGTGACACAGGTTACTCCGAGGCACCTGCACACCATGTTTATTGCGGCACTATTCACAATAGCCAAGTTATGGAAACAGCCAAGATGCCCCACTGACGAATGGATTAAGAAAATGTGGTATCTATACACAATGGAATTTTATGCAGCCATGAAGAAGAACGAAATGTTATCATTCGCTGGTAAATGGATGGAATTGGAGAACATCATTCTGAGTGAGGTTAGCCTGGCCCAAAAGACCAAAAATCGTATGTTCTCCCTCATATGTGGACATTAGATCAAGGGCAAACACAACAAGGGGATTGGACTTTGAGCACATGATAAAAGCGAGAGCACACAAGGGAGGGGTGAGGATAGGTAAGACATCTAAAATATAGCTAGCATTTGTTGCCCTTAATGCAGAGAAACAAAAGCAGATACCTTAAAAGCAACTGAGGCCAATAGGAAAAGGGGACCAGGAACTAGAGAAAAGGTTAGATCAAAAAGAATTAACCTAGAAGGTAACACACACGCACAGGAAATCAATGTGAGTCAATGCCCTGTATAGCTATCCTTATCTCAACCAGCAAAAACCCTTGTTCCTTCCTATTATTGCTTATACTATCTCTACAACAAAATTAGAAATAAGGGCAAAATAGTTTCTGCTGGGTATTGAGGGGGTAGGGGGGGAGAGGGAGGAGGCGGAGTGGGTGGTAAGGGAGGGGGTGGGGGCAGGGGGGAGAAATGACCCAAGCCTTGTATGCACATATGAATAATAAAATAAAAAAAAAGAAAAGAAAATTAAAAGGCTAAAAAAAATCACATAAAATAGGAATGAAATTCTGGTACATGCAACACAATGGATAAGCCATGAAAATATTATGCTAAGTGAAATATCATGCTGAGTCACAAAAGGACAAATATTGTATGTATAAAGTAACTAGGACAGTCCCACTCCTAAAACAGAATTAAAACAGAAGTTATTCAGAGCTGAACCCAAAGGTATCAGGAATGTATTTTGTGAAGCAATAAGAAAACCCACAGAGATCCTTCAGCCATCTGGAGGACAGCTGGACTCGCACGTTTTTTTCAAAATTAGATCAGCAGAAACTTCCCATGTTGCTAACTATTTAAAAGTATCCTACAGTAAACAAATAGAGAGATCTTTTATAAAACAAATACTATTGTGTGTTTGGTTCTGTGTTTTAGATATAGACCTATTTTGAAATTAATGAAAAGTTACCATTATACTATAACCATAAAATATAATTGCACTGATCTAAAGCTTGCTATGGTACCAGAAACTAAGTCCTCTATATATGTCATATCTGATCGTTCCAAAATTATGAGGTTGGTTTTATGCCCAGTTTCTAAACTATAACTGAATTTCAGACAGTAACATGACACAATTTGCTTATAAATAGTGAAGCTGGAATTTGGACCCATTGTGGCTTCAAAGCAACACTAGATTAGGTGATTAATACCCCTTACCTAATCTATTTTCCCATATCAGAGAAAGTATGTGATGACATCTGGTAAGTAACAGAGTAAAGCCTCAACTTCTCACACCAAAAAATCTGCAAATTCATATAAAATCCAGGAGGAAAATGCATCAACAGTACTAAGTGAGGAAGAGACATTTTAAATTTACAGTATTTTTACCTCAAAAGCCAATAATGCATATATTTACTTCCTAAATTGTATATATTATGGGAAAAATATCATGAAAAAATACTCAAGAAACACATTTTAATCTTAATGCTTTATAGCAAAACTAAGAACAGACTTGCTAAAAGCAAGAGCAACTTTCATCAAACATCTCATTCTAAATAAGATCAAACAGCTTCTGGCAGTCTTTAGTCATTAGAAACTCTCAAAATAGTTTCTGATAGTTTGTTCATGGTCCTTCACTATATCCTGTGTCTTTCTTTCCTCTACCTAGGAAATCTTAAAATATTCCAAAACTAAAACGTCAAGGTGGTACTTAACATCCATTGCTCCAGATTTGTACAGTGGCTCTGGAGGATGGCCTAAAACATTAGCTATAGCATAACCCTTTGTCAAATGACACTAACTTGCACTAAATTGTATAAACTGAATTAGCCATAAGACATAGTTCATGTTAGTAAAAAGGGAATGCCATATTGCTTTTAATTTTTTCATCCAAAATGCTCCATCAGTCTTGTTTCCCTTACTATGACTTCCTTGGAAATGAATAACCCAGATTTACTTTCAGTATGGAAAGTTAATTAGAATCTTTCTTTTTTTAAGTGATTTGAATTCCAAAGGAAATTAAGTAAAACTACTTACAAGCATGCAGAAACAAAATTACTAGCAAGATAATTCCTTGTGCAGGGAAAACTTTCATAGGTGAGTTTAAAAACATTAGGTAAAATAAGAAAAGAAAATACTTTGTCTTTTCTAAGTATGACAATGAATTCTCTCAAAACATTAAATTACTAGGAAGGATTTCTAGATCTTTTAAATTTTGTCTTCAGACAAAAAAGATACCAATTCTCACAATGTAAGAAGGAGGCAAAGTAGAATAAAACAAATTATTTTCTTGAGACAAGTATTCTGATTCATCAATTGAAACAAAAATTTTAGAAATGCTCAATATTAATACTTTCAGAACTAACAGCTATACTTAAAACAACAACAGATAATTTTCTAAGGGAAAAACAAAACATTGATTAATCTTACAGCTCAGAAAATCTTATCACTGTCCACTGTCTCTCTATTCTCTAATACCGAGAAGCTGAACATAGAACTATACCTTCTCTGGTACAGGTAGGCGGCTGGGTTCTTCCATTTTTCTTGGTTGCTTTACAGAATCACACCCATACATCCTATTTTTAAGACCATAAGGCTGTGTGTCAGTCACATGGTGGTAGGGGACTCCCTGAGGGGCCATGGACAGAGGCCCCCCATGCAGATTTTGGGTTATGCTGGCTGAAACACTGGGCACTGGCTCCACCTTGCATTCTGGGTGAGAGACTTGTGGAGGAAATCCAACACCTGGAAGACTAACATACTGAGGATGAGGGCTTTCCTGCTGACTCAACAAAGCTTCAGACATGATTTTATGTTCATTTCCAGGAGATATAAGTATGTTACTGGTGGCGTTTTCTAATTGTTTCCTATCCACTGGCACAGAGTGTAGAAGTGTGGGTTGCTGCAGCACAGTTTCTATTCTTTGTGCGTTTTCAGTAGTTGCTTGAAGAGAACATGGATTCAGTCGAGGAACACTGGTCTGTATTACTGAAGGCTGCCCAAGCTGGTGAAATATCTGCTGAATTGGAGGCTGAAGAATACTTGCTCTTCCAGAAGTCTGTGTCACCATAATTGGTACATTGACTTTATAAAGGTGACCTTTAAAAGGAGAAAACAAAACTAAGGATAATAGGATTCTTATTTCCTTAAAAAATAAGAACCTACCCCCAACAGACTGGGAGGAAATATCCCAATAAGTCAATAGTGGTTATCTCCACGAGTTTTTTTTTTTTATTCTTCAGATATTTTGTATTTTCTACAATATTTTTCAAAGTATACTGGTTTTGCTTTAACTCTAGCATTTTTCCATTATTACTTTTATGACACATTTTGAGATGAATACAGGCCACCAATATTTAAACTGTGGCCCCCTCACATTGTTTGATAAATAAATGTTATCAACCCACCGTGGAATTTTAACAAATATAATCATGTAACTGTATTTCAAATGCTTAAGATACACACTACAAGACAGGGCTATCCAAAGAAAGTATTTAATAATTTCCACAGTTATCAAATGTCTTCTCTCTTTCCTTTAAAATAACACTAAAAAGAAGAAAAAGGAATTTATTTTTGAGCATTGAGTTAGGTGCTTTACTTAAATTTTACAACCCAAAAACAGGTCTTAGCATCTTTCAAATCAAGACAGTGCTGCACAGCAGAGGCTGGTTAACCTGCAAACTTCCAGATGTCCTTTCCTACTAAGCCATGTGACTGTGAGTAAGAGAGGAGGCAAGGGTGAACAACCTAATTTTTAGTCTTAATTAGTGCTATCAGTAACTTAATTACTTATTTGATAAAATTTAGTAACTGACTTGGGGAAAAAATATACAAAGCATCTTCTACAATGTTTGGAAAGAGAACTGGGAAAGAATTATAGGAAAAGTTTAGTACAGTGTATTTTGTGGTAGGCTGCTTCCATAACTATAACCACCAGGTATTTTTACTTCTAAAATAGGTTTTATTAAATGTTCCTATAATTTCTGGTGTAAAATTTTTTTAAAAATTATGAAACGTAATGTCCAGAAGTTAGTACCAATGCTAAAAACAAAATATTCTTAGCATGCACTCTCACCAGATACAGTCTGTAGCGTCACACCTGCTGGCACGTGAACAGGATATCCAGGAAAGGCAAAGTTTGCACTGGAGTTTGAGGTACCCTAGAAATAAGGAATGGATATTAGGCACTTAGAAAAAGACCTTATATATGTTTTTTTTTCTCAGTCAAAAATCTGATTACATATGTACAGGAAAGCAATGCAAGTAAACTCCCTGTATAGGCTGTCCTTATCTCAACTAGCAAAAACCCTTGGTCCCTATTATTGCTTACACTCTCTCTTCAACAAAATTAGAGATAAGGGCAAAATAGTTTCTGCCTGGTAGCGAGGGGATAGGGGGCAGGGGGAAGGGGGGAGAAATTACCCAAACATTGTATGCACATATGAATAAAAGAAAAAAAATCTGATTCCAATTGATAGGACTATAGTTCAGACACATTTAACATTAGGGCTGAGTTCTTTGAATAAAACAGCATTTTAATATTTAATTTAGACAATTTCTTTAAGGATCAAGAGGAATTCTGTTATGCAGTCATTCACAAGATGCCAGTAAGTCTGTATTTTAATAAAGTTATCTTAATTTTATTGCTCTTAAAAGTATAAAAACATTCATAGATTTTCAAGATATTTTGTAATAGTCATTACCATTATTATTCTAAAATAAAATTTAATATGATAAAAATTAAAAATATCAGATGTCTTTTTTTTCAAAAACAGAGGACAGGCAGGTAAAACGGTTTCTGTCTGGGAGCTGGTACCAATGAGAGGGGAAGGATATAAGGAAAGGGTATAGGAGGGTGAATACAATAGAAATATTATGTACTCATATATGAAAACAGAAAAATACATGTTGAAACTGTTCTAAGAATGAAGTGGGGGGAGATAAAGGAGAATGATGAAGGAGATTAATTTAACTAAGATACATTGTAAGCACTTTTGTAAATGTCACAATGTACCCCAGAATAATAATATAATAAAAAACTAAAAACACTTTAGTTTCTATAAAACCAGTAAGCCTTAATGAATGAACACTCTCATAAAATTTGCCCAACATATAGCTTTGCCTGGACCATTTATTTCAAGGTGTCAAATATAAAAACCACAAATATAAAAACTGTTTATGTTTCTTCTAGATTCTAAATTGATATCTAATGATATTTTAAAATATATTATGATAATGCATAATTTATATGATTACATATAATTTTTATTTGGAATAAATAAATCCAGAGTTTTTAAATAAAAAAACACAAAACAAAAAATGTTTTGTCTACCAGATCTGCAAAAATTTTAAATATTGATAAGTAATACCCAGTGTCAGTGAGGACATGATAAAAATTGGTTCTCAGGCCACTCTATATAAATGCATACTGATACACTCCTTTGGAGGGATAATTTTGCAATATATACCAAAATTAAAAATTTGAATTGAATGATTGACCCAGAAATTCTACTTCTAGGAATTTATCCAATTATCACACAGACATATACAAGTACAATCAATGGAATGCTATATTGGGAAAAAGCTGGAAACAGATGTCCATCAACAAAGGTTGGTTACTTCAACTGATTTATCCACTAAGGCCACTCTGTATTTACTGGCATTAGTAAGGGAGGGAGGGATGAACAATAGGAAGAAGGAAACTAAAGAAAGTAAGAAGGAAAAGAGAAGGAGGGGGAAAAGGGGGGGGGGAAGAAGGAAAGAAGGAAGGGAAGGAAAAAAATTACAGAAGCAGTAAAGAAAGCAATTCTACTTTTTATCCTGAAAAGTAAGGCAATGTTCATGTAGAAGTCTAGTGAATATACATCAAACAGTTACAAACAACCACCTTTAGGATATAGAACTGCAGGGCTCATTCACATTTTACTTTATAAATTTGTTTTTAGTTCTAATCAAGAAAAAAAGATATGTTCCTGAATCTCAAAAGCAGAACAATTTCATTGGTCTCCTTACAGAAGAAACAGAAATGACTGGCCCACTGAACCTTTAATCTAGAAAGGAGACTCAGGGGCAAAAAGCACCATGGAAAAAAAGTAAAACTGAAAAAGTGCTACTCTTCCCCCTGCTCAATTTTCTATTAATAAATTACAGTTTTATTTCCTCCTTCCAAGTACTAGAGGGGAAAATAAACTCTACTCCACAAAGGTAGAAAATGACCAAAATATTACACTTAAATAAAAAGGAAAACTGAGGTTGCTCAACTCTAAAAGAATAACAAATCAGAAAATGCATTATCAAAATTATCTATTCAAGAGATACCAGACAGGTAACATTATACAAGCGTCTTAAAACTCCCATACACTGTAATGTCAGAAACTTCCTAATCTCATAGGTACCACTGGAAAAAGGGACTAACAACTGCTCTGGAAGAGAGGAAAAGCTGGTAAGAAAACATTGATTCTGAATCTCCCGATATCAAAACTATCCCTGTCCCCCTATTCTTACCCTATCTTTCCCATTCAACTGGAGGATCAAGAATTACATCTATGCCCACCATTCACTGAAAGCAGAACACAGCTTTTCAAAGGTATTGGAAATAAGCTACATACCAATTCTGCTGTGGTAAAACTTGGAAGAGTTCCACCAGCAGGCATAACTAACGATGCTGCATAGAAAACAAAAGAAGTATTATACATTCATTAGAATTTACCAATTTAGTAAAATTCCTAGACATAGATTTTTTAAAAAATATATATTTTCAATCACTAATGTGCTAGACCATGGTGAACTTATAGAACATATGGATTCCAAGTGAGGAAGAAAGTAGTTATATTTTTTTTCTCTGGCAACTTTAAATAAAGACTTCACAACTAAATTACTTTAAGAACAGACTATGTCATTATAAACAGGCATACTGTACTTTAGAAATCCATAACAAAACATGTAGATTGTCTTTACTCTGTCAATGGAGCACTAAATCTCTATTACAACTTTTCATTGGGGAGAAAAAGTAATATTTGTTAAAACAGCACATTTCTAAAAGACTATACTATAAATCAAGAACATGTAACCCAACATAAATCCATTTTAAATTACATAGTTTCAAAAAAAAAAATCCCTTGGCAAAGAAACAGGTATAACTGCTAAGAAAAACAAATTCTCTGGAGAATTCCAACTCACCCTGAATTAAAGCTTTAATTCCATACAGTTTTTTCCTTATTTTCATAATTATGCTTTTATTTAACAATGCAGCTATAAGGTTAGCCAACTGGATTTGAACCTAGCACTCAAAATA